TTCCACGTTAGTAAACAATTACCACGATTTGGTTTGTAAATATGTTTTATGACCACTACTACGAAAATGCTTTTTAATATTAGTCGAAAACCGATTGTTTTTAATTTCTTAATTTCTTAACTTCGGTCGAAAATGTTAGATTACCCTTCTTAATTTCTTTCTTTATTTCTTTGTTTCCTTTTTTTTTTTTTTTTTTTTGAGAAAAAACTGCCTTTTATTGATCCAGACAAAACATCATTCTTGTAGTACCAATGAATAAAGACATATAGAGTACTCTAACCAAACAGAATTAACAGGAATAAAAATAGCAAAACTAGCTAAAAAGTTGGTTACCGATTTCCCAGGACAAGAAATGTAGCAGACATCGCCAGCTTAGAAATAACATCCTTGATGTCATAAATAGATTATCCTTTCTTTTATTGGACGGACCCACCAAAATAAATATCCCCAAGAAGAGGAGGAAGCTGCTCTTTATAAATAGAAATATAACTGCTCACACATACACACACAAAAAAAAAAAAAAAAGCTTTTTTGTTAAATGTTGGGATCGTATTTATAGATAATTTGGGGCATAAAACCGATAATATAAAAAATAAATGAGAGAAATACTAAATTTATCATTTAAAATGTATGAGTCTTGATTTTTACTCATTACTTTTGATTAATATTATTTTGATTAAAATAATTATTTGACTAAAAGGATATTAACAAATAGTAGGGTAAAAATCTAGGCAATTTTCTTTTCGCAATTGAAGTGACAATTCAAATTCTATTACTACAATATTGTAATGACCCCGTCTACGTGGCCGTTACTTAACTATAATTGTGCTCTGATACCAACTGTGACGACCCTGCTGAGTTGGTCGTCACTGAAATTGGTTTTAACAAATATTTTCTGAAACTCTCAAAATTTGAGAGTTTTTTTTTTTTTTTTTTAAATGCTACCTAGAATGCTGCAGTATTTTTTTAAAATGTTGTATAGAATGCTGTAGCATTCCGATCATAAGTTTCTTTCTTTTAAAGAACTATATCATTTTTTTTAAACTTACTGTAATGACATAAATTCTAGTCTCCACTTTTTGAACATAGCAAAGTGTTTAGATTTCAAAAATAATTCCTTTTCTAAAGCATGAATTTACACATGATTATATTTTTGCTTCTCAAAATCCTGCTAGCTCACACAAACTTAACAATCATACTGTAAACTTTGAAAACACAAGTTCATAGACATATTCAACAAAATCTTTTTAAAACCTTAAATTGTTGCGGAAATAACTGTGTATGGTATCTATTCCCCAACCTCCACTCCGCTCGTTCGATGCCTCGCCATCAGTCCATCAATCATTATGTGCAGGTTGCTTACCTACAGTATAAATACTCTGAAATGAGTTTTCACTCAGTAAGTAGGAACTATTACTCAGAAAATAACTGAAAGTTCACATGACTATAATGCATTAATTGATTATGTTGTCTTATGATGTTTTATCATAGTTTTACTGTTTGAATTTATCTTATTTACTTATGGGCCTGAGTGCTCGTACCATTGCGCGTAATCATCGGGATGTAAGGGTTTGCAAGGTCCCCAATGACACCGTGATTTAAACTGAACTGAGTACCTCCCTTGCGGAGGACCCTTTTTTTTCGTTATCTCCCTTGCGGAGTCTGATGACCTCCCTTGCAGAGACTAGTATGGCACTCCACTATGTTTCTTCTTATAAATTCCTCTTGACTTATTAAGGTGTATGCAATATGACATAACATAGCATACTATAACATGGAATGTACTCAAACACATATAATTCATGTGCACTGCTTAAGTGTATGCAGTATGACACAGCATAGCATACATAACATTAAATGTACTCAAACACATATAATTCATGTGTACTGTTCATTTTAAAATCTATTTATACTGTAGGCGAGATTCCTACTTATCTGTTTTAGGAAGTGAAATCCTCTATTCGCTAAAGAGTATGTTCTCTTTCTTTCTTGTTTTTGAAAATGAACACCTATTAAGAGTGTGAGATTAACTATCACTTGCTATTCAATTTTAGCAAGCTTGTAAGAAAGTCTAACTTCTCTATTTATGGCTCGCTTTCTCTTTTCTACCTTAAAGGATTATAAAACCTTGTTTCTAATTTAAAGATAGGTTTATTGAATCCTGACAACCTTACTTTTTAATAGCAAAGTCTGAAATCAACATACTTTCTTGAGATTATACTTCGAGTTCTTCAACGAACTCCTCTGTTCAACATCAAAACTGTTTTAACAGTTATATAGTGTTTTTCTAAGAAAATAGTTTAAAACTTCTATTTAAAACTAAAACTAAGTTTAGCCTCAAATTCTAGAACTATAACTAAATTTAACCTTAAATTCTCAAACTAAATTTCGGCGGAGTTTCACCTTACTTTTCTATGTTTCCCTAGCTAACTTTAGCTCATTTTATCCATTATTTTCACCTTCAAACACAAACCATATCCTTTCTCTTTCAAATACACCATCAACATCATCATGGTTCTAAGGTTTCTCCACATTTCTATCAAAATTCTCTATATGAAGAATTGCAAGAAATAAAAGTTCAACAACTAAGAATTTATCCTTAGTTCACTAGATTTCAAGTTTCTTAACCATTACATGCAAATCACCATTTTTAGTAAAAACTTTTCCATACTTCCCTACACTTCCACGACAGCCAAGGAAGAGGAAATAAGAGGAAAAACTTGAAATCTCACCTTAGAGAATGAAGATCAAGCTTCAGTGATGCTATTTCTTAGTAATTCCGTCGATTTCCGCTTAAATCCATCTTTTTCTCACTTTGGAATTTTTTCCTCTCTATTTCTCTTGGCTGGGTTCTCTGGTTTCTTTTCCACGTGAAAGTGATCATTTACATGTATTTGTTAATCATTGAACTGACCATCAAAAAGTAAGGGACCAAACAATGCAAAATTTGACTTTTCCAAGGATTTTTTTTTTTGCAAAATTCTAACAAATATCTCTTGCTTCCTCATTAAGTTGGCCGGCTGCCCTTCATCCCTCTTTTCACATGTCAAAATCTCCTCCATCCAACCTTTTGTTACTTTTATTCTCAACCATTGATCATTTAATAATTATCCTATTTTGGTTCAGCTTAATTTCTTGTCCAGTGTGCGTTTTATTTGCGTTTCTCAGACAGTTGGTCAACTTTGACCATTCTTGACTAACTTTTCAAGAGTGACGTTTTGGTCGACTCTTGGTCAACGAACTTTGACTCGGTTTACTTAAATGAGTCGAAACCCTAATTTTCTCGGTTCGACCTTCCGGACCTATCTTTCGTCTGTTTTTTGTTCTAATTACTTCTAAAACCTTAGAATTGATGTTTTTCAATTCTTTTTTCACTTCTTAACCTTAAGATTCATGTGTTGGCCCACTTGTGGGTTTAACACAGCATTCTGCACATCCTTTATTATTGCAGTCTGAAAGTCGGTAACAGTAACTTACCTAACTTAAATTTCTAATTGCTTACTTGATGTCATCTTGCTTACATAAGCAAGGTTTAGTGGACACTTGGTAATCACCCATTGATATTCTATTTCATAGCTATTCCTATTACTTCATACTGACTTTTCAGAAATTACTTAGTTGACAGGAAATTTTAGTTCCCGACTTTGTCAACTTCTGAACTCATATTGCATCTGAATTTCTTTACTAAAACACTACCCTTTTAATTTCCCCTTATCTGTTTAGAAATTAAGGGTTTTCTCTTTAAATGTCAGATTGTTTCTCTCTACGCTGCTAACATTATATTGCACTAAGAGATTCCTAAGATTAGGATTCTCCAACTGTATATGCACTGAGAATTCTTTCGCCTTAATTGCGGTAAGAATTTATCAACTGAATTTACTTGTTCTTACAATATGAACTAATCATAAAACTTGCTACAAAATTTAGAAATACTGATATTAATTCCATAAATCCTTCAGTCACAAAATATGACAGTATATTACTGAGAAAAGTCATTGACTTAAATAAATAAATTTACATTATTTAATTTTAAGATTTTTTCGGTCATTACAAGTGTTTTCTCTCAAAAAAAATTTCAAATTCAACGTTTTTACTATAGCGTTTCTCACGCATATACAACTCAAGTTCTCAATTTGAGTTGTGAAACAAACACAGCCCTAAACTCATGCACTTTAAAGGAGTATTTTTTCATTTTCTCAAAAAAAAAAATTGGTGCTTTCTTCTTTACAGAATTCATAATGGATCACTACCTACAATAGAAATATGTTAATACAAAAATTATGTGTATCCTTATATACACAATAAATAGAATAATATCATTATGCGTATCATTACATACACAACAAAAATAATAAGGAAATTACTCATTTTATAAGAGATAGTGCATTGACATGTTATTGAAGTCTAAGCAAACCGTGTGTATATTTACACAAAAAATATAGAAAGGGCGTTACAACTTACGCCTTACGTTATATACGTACATACAAAACAAAGTATTTGGAATTACACATTTTAAAACTAGAGAGAATACATCGACATATTAGTGAAATCCAAGAGAATCTTTTCCCATGATTTTACACAATTCACATTATTTATGTGTACCAAAATGAATAATATGACAAGATTTTTTTTTTTTTTTTTTTTTTTTTTGCTAAATATATGACAAGAACTTCAATAGTGAGATGAGTTACTCCAAGTCTCCAATCGAAGAGAATAGGTTGATGATTACTTTTTAAGGAAGAGAAAAGAAAAGAATTCCAATTTTGTCGTTAGATTCAACCTATAACTTCGTTTAATGCGTCTTATCATTTCCTTTTTTTTTTTTAATCATTCGTCATATCGTTTCTTAATCTTAGAAAAAAATAATAATAATAAAAACAAGAAATTTATTTATAAAGACCCTTTTGGGGCAAATTGGAACCTATAATAAAGTATGGTAATGAATAAATTGACTTGCTTCTCAACTTTATCAACTCCCACAAAATTTTGACTGAAGATACTTCGTCCCGTTGCATCATTACAAACAAATCATATATTTAAACAAAAATTGAGTATCAGAAGATCAACAGAGAAGAAATTACTACTATTTCAAAAATTATGGAAAAGAACTTCTCAGCATGAATACAACAAATATACACGTGAGTCTAGCATTTAAATCAATCTTAGTTCATACTCGCCAGCCATTGTTATGTATCTCACCCATGGAAGAGCCTGGTATCCACTTTTTTCAATGATTTTGAGATAGCGAACCTACAAAATCCCAATACCAATAGAGCATAATATTAGTGAGTCTATAAAATAAAATTTGTTCTAATATTTCAAAGAAGAGGAAATAGGCCAAGCCCTAAAAAAAGATAATAATAATAATAATAATAATTTGCGCGCCTGGGATTCAGCATGATGGAAAGATAATAGAATACTCCATAGAGAAACATAATTCCTAAAGGAAAGACGTGAATATACTCTAATTCACAACCAAATATAACATCTAGCCATTTCACTTCTCCCCGATGAGCTGAATGACTCTTGATACATCTTAACTACTTATTTTTACGCAGAAAGTTCCGATCTCTTCAATCCAAACTTTTTCGCATGTGTTTATGTAAGTTCAAATTATGCTATTTCCTAGTTTGGGATGACTAAGAGCAAAATTATTAAGAAATCATTGGGGCATATAACAGTGTTCATAAAACATACCTGAATTCCTGAGACCGTAAAATATGGTATCTCAAACTTCACACGAATAGGAGCTTTTCTTTCAGGAGCCGCATCTTCAGCAGTAATGCTAGGAAGACTAAACTCGGCTCTCAACATATATTCCTATAGAAATAAGATGAACAAAGAATGACTTTGTGATAAATAATGAAACTAATGGTATGCAGCAACAAAACTCTGGATAAGATCCTACCTTATTACCAGGAAATGATTTTATTTTCCAGACCAAGGCATCGTTTTCTGGAGCATAAGCAGCGGATCCCATAGATGTCCGAACATTAGGATTTGTCGAATCAGAAGGCACTGGCAATTCGATTTCAACATTTGTTGCAGTGCTGCCACATAGGAAGAGAACTTTCAATCAGAAACTTCGTTAACAGCCCTCAGAAAAGAGGCTATCAAAATTATCCTCCAGAGTCAAAATTGTCCTCCAGAGCCAAATCCATCCTATCCAATGGAATCTAGAGTTTAGGCAAAAAAGGAACAAGGAAAATATCCAGCCGAGAATGTCTTTCCGTTTTATAGACGGACAGTGTTAAGCACTGGGCAATTTTAGCCGTACCAGAACTCAATTAAAAGAAATTTAGTAAGGAAACTGACTGAAAATTGGGTCGTGCCCTTCATTTATCTCACAACTCCATGCTTATAGCAGAGTAATCATCATAACAGAGACGCCATTAAACCAGATAAAAATTGAGAAAAGAGAAAATGAAAGGTAAGGGGGTTTCGGGGATCCTCTGCCACCCAGACCAGACCTCACAAAATTCACGCACACCCTCCTACGTCACTACTCTTGCTTAAATTCATCAGCCTAACAAACTTTTTAACAGAAAGCCACCTCAGCTTAATTTCCCTTCTTGGCCTCATGCACCTGAATGCCCTTTTGGCCCCTCCTAGAGTACACAAACTTTAATGGAGCCATAGGCGAGGCTCTATCAGACAGATGTAGCAACCATTAACCTGAGTGCTTAAAAAATGATGTTACACATCATACCGGGTTTCAGTTCCTTTTTTTTTTTTTTTTTTTTTTTTTTTTGATATTGGGGTGAGGGGATTCGAAATGTTTACCACATTGTTCGAGGTGAAATTACTGCCAGCTGCCAGGCTAAGCAAGCAGCCACAGTTCCTTAAATTTTTATTCTTTATTTTTTTATTTTAGTTTATTTAATGTTCGAAAGAAAAGGGTTGCAATTTCTGAAGAAAAGATAGAAAAAATCAGTACCTCCGCTCCTTAAATTGGCTCCTTGCTTTGACTGTAATTTCAATGCGACTTCTAGAATGCTTTTCAACTTGCGCTTCCACCCAGATGAGAGGTTTTACCTAAAAAATAAGATAAATAAAATAAACAATTCACACAAATGTACCAAGATTTAAATCAAGGTGGCAGTTTAATCACATAAAAAATTCAACCGTCACTGCCAACCATATAAAAGAAAAACTAGGGTAGCAAAAAAAGAAAAAAGTTACAAAATTACACTCTTAAAGGTGCAAAAAATACGAAATGAACCTGAGTACTGAGTCTATATGTCATTAGATCAAAAGATCCATCAGGAGGTATGAAGGATATAGTTCGGTCATTATCAAATCGAGCCAACCGTACACACCTAACAGGTCAAGGGAACAAAAAGGAAAATTAAGGGAAAGAAAGGAGCAAGAGATGAATTGTGGCTTAAAAAAAAACAGTAGCATCCACAACAATTATAAAACAACAAAAGCTGAGATGCGACAAAGAGACAAATTAGGAAGATAAGGAAATATACTGGTGAAACTTAATATCATCCAGATCAATTGCTTTCCCTTTCATTGTTCGACCTTGAGCCTCCAGTAGCACTTTATCATTCAGGCCAAGTTTACACTCCGGCATACCACTACACGAATTCAAGCAAGTTAGCTGCATTATCCATAAAAGGTTGAATGAATAACAAGACAAGAACAATTACAAACTTTATAATCAGTAGGAAAATAAAAAGACGAAAAAGGCCTTATGAATGAGCCTTCTTGAGATTGCCAAAGAGTACAAAAGTTGGCGATCCTAACAGTGTCAAAACAAAACATGATTGAAGTGGAGAAATATTGACCTCAGATTGTTGGGGTTGTTGGGAAGAGGTTATGTGGCAGTATTACTCTGAACATTCTACCAATAAAATCTTCTTGTTTCTTACAATAATGAATGTCGTTGAGCTCTGACAAAAATCAAAGTCGACCACTCATTCTTCATGCAAATGCAATGACCAATCCTTTTTATTTAGGGTATGTTCATTTCATGACTCAAGTCATATTGCTACAGTATTTTCTCTCACAAAAATTCAAATTCAACTTTTTGCTACAGTAGTTTTCTCACGTACACAACTCAAGTCATAACTAAAGTCATGCAAAAGAACAAGCCCTTAGTTGTAGCTGCTCCAAACTCATTTCATTTTGGTTGGTATTTGCCTCCAAAGAAATACAACCACAACGTCCTACAGTTGCTGTCTAATAATATAACTAACACGAGGTAGATGCTAGTAGGAAGTATGCCTGCTTGACCCTTGAGGAAATGCATACCAACACCATATGAAGGGGTCATATAGAAGTGTGTGTGTGCGCGCGCGCGCACGTGTATCATCCAAATTCAAACAATTGGACACCATGATGCCTGTCTGTCCTAAAGGATAAAGCATACTTTCAGAAAGAATGGTCGTTTCTTCTAAAAATCCATATCCACCGTCAGAACAACTTCACAAACTATTACTTAATTAGAAAAGGAGAAATCAAGCACCTCAAATACGTTCTCATCTTTAGTGCTCCAACAACATCAGAACGTATTATTTGCCCATTGCTGTTGACAAGTATATTCACACTTTCCACCACATCCAAGAAAACCTGAAACAATAAAGGCCCTCCTATCACTTAGCCCTGTAATCACTAATCACCAACGAGAACATACAGATGCAAGCAAACAGTCAATGAACCTACTTCATTTTTCTTGTATCGGATCCCTTCACTCCGCCAAGAAACCGCATTCGTGACGGCCATGGGAGGCCGTTGGGTGACCTCCATCCTGTAAGCATCAGTCTTGATGAACTCACTAAGAATCTTAGCTTCCGTGAATTGAGGGAAACCAAAATCCATTATTTCATCAAGCAACTCGTACTGCCCAAAATTACAAATTTATCAACAAAACAATCAATCTTTATCAAATAACACACAATAAAACAAAACGGTCTACAAAAACACCTACCACAACCACAAAGTTATCTCTCAAGGATTCCTCTTCTAACTCTTCGAAATAGTGCTTAAACACCTACATTACCAAAAACAAATATATATATATATATATTCCTTACATATTATTGTATCAATTAAATCAATTAAATAAACATGGATTTAGAAGAGTACATCAACTAAGCGATGAAGAAAGAGCAAAAGGCTCGCGGCATTGCAGTTCTGCCTTGAGGCAATCATCAAGTAGACATTGTTGTGCTGTACGAACATGTACGTAACGCCATTGTCGTACACCACCGGATCCTGAGACTCTGAATCTCCCTGTAAATTCGTTTCCGAAATTTTCAATTTCACCGATTCAAAACCTAATAAAAAATCTCAAAAAATTGCAAAATCTAAAATTCACAATCATCAAAACCTCTTTCTCGATAAGCTTGGTGAAAAATCGCTCGGCTTGAGCAGCGGAGACATCGCCTCGGTAATCGCGCCAGATCAAAACCCGACCTTTGATGTCTAGCAGGAAGAGCGCCGAGGCGGCGCCGGCCATTCCGACGGCGAGAGCGAGGTTCTTGTGAGGATGGTGGATTGTGAGAAAATCTCGATTGGAATTCGGAAGCTTTTTGAGCTCGGAGATTGATCGATTTGAAGAAGAACAGGAGAAATTCGAATTGAAATGGTTCGTTTGGTTGACGAAAAGTACAGATGAATTTCTTTTTTCTCTTCTTCGTCTTCGTTCTGGGATCTCTGTTTGGGTCTTCGAATTTGTTCGCCTTGAAGCTGTTTTATTAGGACATGCATTGTAGCGCGCACGTGCTAACAAACGACATCGTACGGAAAACGACTAGTCGTTTTATTTATTATTTTGTTTTTTTTAAGAATTCCCCTAAACTGCATTAATAAAATATCAATGCACCACTCACTCCCATGAACAATTGATTTTGACTAATTATTAATTAATTATTTTCCAAAGATTTTAAAACAACGTTTTATGTCAGTTAACCAAGTGAGTGTCGTTTTTCTTGTATCTTGAATTCTGAGTTAATGTTCTTATATCGTTGGTCAAGATGTTTTGTCATTGTCGGTGTTCTTGTCCTCTATTGTTGCAATTGTTTTCGGAGAATGCTACTTGCTCAGAATAAAACTGTCGTATGTCCATTTGAAGTTTGAAGTCTTTTTTTACATTGTGTCGTTAACGTCGTTTCCTTTCATTATTGTCAAACCTTATGTGGTTGCCGATCCATCTAGAATAGAAAATATTAACAGGAAAATTATATATATATATATATATTTATATATATAAGGAATGCTGCTCTTTTATTACTCATTCTCTTCACTCTCTTTATTACTTACTCATTCTCTTAACCAGTGCTGAACTTTCGGACGGCGGGCCTGCCTGATGCCCGAAAATTTTCAGGCACGGCGGGCAGGCCCCTCTCGCCACCCGAAAATGCTTTTCTTCGGGCACGGGCTCGGGTAGCCCGAAAAGAGTAATCCCCCCGACAGCCCGCCGCCGTGAAGAAGCCGTCCCCCGCCGTTCGCCGGATTTTTTTTGAATTTTCTGACAATACCCGAAGCTGCCCGAATTGCCCAAATTTTTTGTGACCGTTGCCCGAATTTTGCCCCATGCCCGAAAAATGCCCGATTTTTTTTTACCGTTAGCCCGAAAAATGCCCGAATTTTGAAAAAAAAAGGTCTTTTGCCCAAACCCGAATTTTGCCCGAATTTTTGAACCCAACGATCGGATTTTGTGCCGTTGCCCGAACTGCCCAAAAATTTTGTAGCCGTTGGACCTGAATTTTTGGGGGAAAATTTTTTTTTTTCAACCCAAAAATTTTCCTATAAATACCCCCCCTCCCCCCAACCATTTTTCTCACCCCAAAACTCTCATTCTCTCTCAATTTCTCTTAATCTCTCTCAATTTCTCTTAATCTCTCTCAAATCTCTCTTAATCTTGCTTAAATCTTCTCGAATCTCGATCTCTCTTAAGCTCTCTCAAAGCGCTCTCAATCTCTCTTATTTTTCATAATGGCTTCTTCTGGTTATGGTGGTGATATTTCCATTGATGCCCAATTCAATATCGAAGAAGGGCAATTTCTTAATGTTTTTCAATCGCAGGAATTGCAAACTATGGAAAGAGTTGCTGATCAAACTGCAAATCCGACCCCTGGTGGACGTACTAGAGGTCGGGGACGCAATGGTGGTGGCACAAGTGGCCGTGGAGGAGAGGCAAGCGGTAGTGCTAGTGCAAGTGTTGCAAGTTCTAAGAAGAAATGCAAGCGCACCTCAGCAGTTTGGGAGCACTTCAACACATTCGAGGACGTCGACAATAACGGTAACATTAAATACGTAGCTCAATGTAAATATTGTGGTGAGAAATTACAAGGTAACACTATTTACGACACTACACACTTAAGAAGGCACTCTGAAAAGTGTCTTCAAAAGCAAGGAGGCAGAGATTAGCTCCGCCAAATGCAATTATCGTTTGACCGCCAAACTGGCAGTCTAAGCACGTGGAAATACGATCCGCAAGTTGATCGTATGGAAATGGCACGATTAATAGCCACATTAGATCAACCACTAAGTTTTCCTGAACAAAGAAATTGGCGACATTATATTAAAATTATACATAATCCTAATGCACAATTTTTTTTTCTAGAACTACTCTTAGGAAAGATGCATTAAAATTATATAAACAAGAAAAGGAAGCATTAATCAACCTTCTACACTCTACTAGTGGTTGCGTTGCGTTAACGGCGGATATTTGGTCCACCGTTGCCAACAAGGATTATTTAGCTGTAACCGGACATTAGTATAAAGGTTTTGATTTGGATAAGAGAATCTTAGGTTTCAAATGTGTTATAAGATCACATACTGCCAATTTAATATATAACACAATTTTATCTGTTATTGATGAATATAGTTTAAGAGATAGAATAATGGTCATAACATTAGATAATGCAACTGCGAATACTAAAGCAATAGAACTTTTGAAAATGATTTAAGCTTATTCAGTAATAATGATATTTTCCACCAATGTTGTGCATGTCATATAATTAATTTAATAGTAAAGTCCGGTTTAAAATCAATGTCAGGTCATATTAAAAGAATTAGAGATAACATTGCTTGGATTCAAGGTAGTAATCAAAGAATACAAGATTGGTTTAGATTTCTACAAGCATGTAATCAAAATCCTAGAGCATTAACCTTAGATATGCCCATAAGATGGAACTCCACTTACATAATGCTTGAACAATGCATCCCCTATAAAGATACTATAACAAATTATGTTAGTGCAAAATTAGGAACAGGATTTATAGATGAAACTGATTGGCAAATTACCGAACTTTTGTATAACTTTTTAGGTAGATTTCATGAAGTTACCTTAAAGCTTAGTGGAACTTATTACCCAACTTCACCATTAGCATCTGAAGAACTTTTAAGAATGTCTATTTTATTTAGTGAATTTAGGACACATGAGGTTTTAGGAGTTCCTATCGCCTATATGGAAAAGAAATTTAAAAAATATTGGTCTAAATTACCCATGTTGTATGGTTTCGGTGTTATTGTTTACCCTAGATTAAAATTAGAAGGTTTAGAAAGTGGATTAGATAACTTAGGTGAATTTTTAGCTATAGACAATATTGACCAGTTTCTTATTAGAAAGGAAAAAATATATTCTCTATATATCTCTTACGAAAGTAGGTTTAGAAACACACCTCGTGTTGAACAACCGCAACAACGAGACGACAATCCGCATTCATTCTTGAATGTTTTCGGGTTGTCTAAGAAGAAGAAGAAGAAGACGACGACGACGAGTCAAGGTCAAGAAGAATCTGGGAGTGGAAGTGGATCTTCATCAAGAGGTGGCGGCGGATTCAACGAGTTAATGGCGTACCTGAGTGAGGGCTTAGTTGTAGACAGTAGTGAGGTGTTTGATTTGGTTGAGTGGTGGAGGGCACGAGCATTAACTTGGCCGATCCTAACACGACTGGCAATGGATATTTTTTCAATCCCGGTCTCCACTGTTGCAGCCGAACAAGCATTCAGTATAACCGGCCGAATACTTGAAGAACGGAGAAATGCATTACAGCAGGATATTGTTGAAGCTTTGGTGTGCATCAAGGATTGGGACCGTTCCGAACAACGTTTACACGATACAATCTCACCGGCAAACTAAGAATGGATCGACGAATTTAATAGATTAACTTTTAATTTTCAAGATGATCATTCTGCTTGATCTTGATAATTTCTTTGTAAATATTTATTTACATTGTAATTTCTAATTTGTATAGTGTTTATTGTAATCTTGTATAGACTTTATAAGTTCATCAAATTTGTAATTCGTCCCACAATGATTGCACTCTTTTTTCCTTACTAAGTTTTTATCCTAATTGGGTTTTTCTTGGTAAGGTTTTTAATGAGGCAATCATGAATTACAAATTTAAAAATCAATGAAGAAGTAATTTTTTTTATATAGTTCGTTCGTGTGTTTAGTGTTCATTTCATATTTCAAATTGTAATATACACATTGTAATTATACAAATACTTATTTCAACAACATAAAAATATAATATAAAAAAAATCAGGCAGTCGGTCGGGCATCGGGCAGCCCGACCGGGCACAAGTAGGCATCCTCTGCCCGAAGCCCGTTCATGGTAATTTTCGGGTCGGGTCGGGCAACCCGAAAATTTGGACATATCAGGTTCGGTCATCGGACAAAAATTCGGACTTTTCAGTGGTCACGGGCGGCCCGTCCAAAGTTTCAGCACTACTCTTGACTCTCTTTCATCACTCATTCTCACTTTTTGTATTGAGATATGAACTCCTCTATGATAAATTATTAGGATAAATTATTAAATAAAAAATAGATAGACTTCAATTATCATTTAAATAAAAAATAAGTAAATTATTAACTTCTCTAATATGATAAATTATTAGGATAAATTATTAAATAAAAATAGATAGACTTCAATTATTATTTAAATAAAAAATAAGTAAATTATTAACTCCTCTAATATGATAAATTATTAAGATAAATTATTAAATAAAAAATAGATAGACTTTAATTATTATTTAAATAAAAAATAAGATTGTGAAATTTACGCGTCAACGGCATAACATTTCTCATTTATATATATATATATATATATATATATATATATATATTTGAAGTATGCTCCAAATCCTATGTAGGAGATATATATATGGTGAAGATCATCCAATCACATCCTCATCCATCGAAGGCTGGTTACAGGCTTACAGCCGATGCCTAAGATCATGTTGTCTCGTTTACAATGCCGCCAAAATCAATTTTTGTTAGTACTATATCCTCGTAATTAAAACAAAACCATCATTTACTTTCAAACTTGCTTCGATTAGTCAAGTATTTAATTCACCTCACAATTTCGTATAAGCTAGAAGGATAAGTACATACTTTATACGAATACATAATGCTCATTGATTATTAAGCAAACACTTACATTCTCAGTCAAAAATTAAAAGGGAAAAATATTAAAAAAACAAACACATACATGAAAGAACTTCCTCATATGTACACATTTATTACACATGCTTAACACGTATACACAAGACCATCACTCACTCTCAAAACGACGACAACCAAGGGCACGTTTCACAAAACCGAAAGCCCAAAAAGCAATAAAACGACAACAACGAAGGAGGGACATCGGAGATCATTTCAGAGAGTCCTGCACATTGGAGTGGTTCAAGCTGTCGTTTATGTTTTTTTGCCTTCCTGGGCCTTACCGCCCTCCTCCCCCCTCACAGCCTCCTGGGCCTTAGTCTGGACCGTCTGGCCCGTTTCCCTAGTCTTCTGGCCCATATACCCCGCCGTGTCCTGCACGCGCCGCTTGGCCTGCTCAGCCTGCTCGGGAAGCTTTCGCCTGAGCCCTCTAACGAAATTCGCCAGCCACGTCAGCGACGACAGGCCGGTGATGCCGAAAGCCCCCGAGGTGAGGAAGCCGGCGACGGCCATGAAGATGGCGAAGGCGGCGGGGACGATGACCGGGCTGAATATCACGAAGACCGGGGTCGAGACGAAGAGGCCAATTAAGGAGGCGAAGAAGGTGAGGCCGGAGAGGAGGAGGAGGAAGCCGCCGAGGGGGAGGAGGGTGACGACGGCGATGATTTGCTGCGTCGACGGGCCCTTCTCCGGGAGGAGCCCTCGTATGGCCTCCGACGTCGGTCTTTGCTGCTGCTGCTGCTGCTGAGTTCGTTGGTAGTCTGCCATTGAAGTTTTTTTTGAGAGAGAGAGAGAGAGAGGAGAGAGAGTGGAACTGGTGTGTGTGTGGCGGTGGGAGGGAGGGGGGGATTAAAAGTTGTGGGTGGAGAAGACAAGTGTTGAATGGTGGTGACACTTGTTTCGCGTAGGGGTTGCATGGGAAACTTGTCGTTTTTCTGAACACTTTTTTTTTTCTTTTTCGGGTTGTAGAGTTTTGGCGGGAATCGCATCATGAAACGATACGTATAACATTAACATGCGGGGCTTTTTTTTTTTTTTTTTTTTCCCAATCACGTGCCTTTGTATTTTATAGAGTATATCCATGACTGTATCCGTCCTATAATAGTGCAATCCCTATCTGAAATTTTGTTCGGAGTGAAATTTAAATTGCCTTTTTTTTAGAAAAAAAAAAATGAAAACTATTGACAACACTTACTATTTAAGAAGAAAAATTTTAAGAGACACACCAATGTTAAATACCATTATATCTTCCATACTTTTTATTAGTGAATATGCTTAATACTGTGACGTCAAAGAGCCTTGCTCAATTAAAGAGCATTAATATGTAAGTTGTGATAAGCTTTATGTATTTCTTACTTCTTTCTACTATTTCTCTACGTCTACGTGACGTGGTGGATATGTTGAGAAAACATGTAGGTCACGTTCATTTCATCGATTTGAGTTTAAAATTCGAGTTTTGCTATAATAAAAAGTTCTCAGAAACAATAACATCTAACTTTTTTGCTACAGTAAAAAACTCTCCCATAAAGTCATATCTCAACTTGAATTAAAAACTCGAATCAGCGAACTAAACGGACCCTTATACTATTTATGGCTAACGTGTAATAGTCGACCTTTTTTATTACATCCTCAAGTTTTACAATTTTACAAGGTTTGTAATATCAATTAGATTCACTGAGAAAGCAGTTTTCTATCGTTGTGTTATTTTAGACAAACTTGGATGTAGTTCTCTCTTTTTTTTGTGTGTGTTTTTTTTAAAGGTGTACTGCAGCATATACCATCTAGAACAAAATGTGACCCCAAAATCCCGTCTGGTCCTAGGGGCTCGATAAGGAAATGATATCAATATGAAATTATAAAACGACAAAAAGATGACAGGCGGGAACAAATTATAATATAAGGAAACGACAATAAAAATATAAATCGCCAATGCATGTTTACAAACGAGCTAACTAAAAAACGACAATATGACAGCAACACGGCAACCACTTCGAACCATGATCATAATACTAGAAAAGGAATATCATAATACTCAAGGGTCTGTTTTGCCTAGGATTAGGGAGGATTGGATATGATTAAATTTTAATATTATGTTAAACTTTTGCCTCAGTCCATGCTCAAAGGGGCTAACTTGCTATCTCTTATTAAAGTATGGGATAACTTTTAATTAGAGCACATTGTGAAAAACACTAAGGACCTATTTGTAAATTTTGATAAAATTTAGGGCCTAGTTATAATTTTTAAAAATTGAGAACTCAAAATTACAATTTTAATATGAGTAAAATATTTAAAAAAATTATCTTAACCCCCTCAAGTTTCAAAAAAATTACAACTTAACCCTAAGTATTAAAAAAATTTACAAAAAAACCCTTATCGTAATAATACAACACCAAATATAGGATTGGATTAAACTAAAATCTAATCATATCCTTTCCTATCCATTCCAATCCATTGATCTAGTTTATGCTATTCAATATTGTCCTATCTTGCGCACTAAATGAGGCTACGAGCACATAACATAATGTGAGGAATACGATAATAATAAACTGTAGACGACAATAAAAGCCTTACAGAAAACGACAATAAGAATGAAAATGACGGCTAATTGGCAAACGATAATATGACAAAAAGTTTCGCTCTCTGAACGGGTCTCGATGACGAGACTGATTAGAATAGAGGAAGTGGACCAGAAAGAGGCCAATAATAACAAGTTTGAAGAAAGACAAAATTAATAATTAAAAAAAAAAAAGATAATGAGATCAGATCAGAACTAGAAGACCAGTTTTTTCTATGTTATTATCCTTTTTAATTTTCTATTCCAGATAGATCATCGTTCACTTTTGGGCAACAACAATTTGGGAAATTTTGTTTTAGCTAGTATAATGGCAACCTCTTTTTTTTATTTTTTATTTTTTATTTTTAACTAAATGGGTCAATGGGTAGTCCGTCGTCGTTAAGTAAGATGTCAAACGTTGGCAAAATAAAAGGTGTTTGGGAGAATGCTAAAAGCTGTTTCTGGCTTTCTGACTCCAAAAAGTGGCTGTGAATGTGTTTGATGATTCGTTAAAAGTGTTTTAATTTTTTAAAAAAACGTATCATTGTTAAAGTTATAAAATGAAATTAAAAAAAAAACACCTATAAATAAATTTTAAAATTTGTATTAGAGTTTTATTAAAGTACTATAAATTTAATTTCAACGTTTTTATTATTTATTATAAAATTAAAAAATTATTTAACTCATTAAGTCCTTTTATTTTAAACACTTATTGAAAATCACATATTTTATTTTTATTTTTCTACTGACTAAAACTAAAAAAGTTTTGTCAAGCTGGCCCAAAGAAATAGGAAAAATCTAAAAAAGGATAAAAATAATAAACGAGAATAAAACATAATAGGGATATTTTCATTTGAAAATGGGATTTAACCTTCGGTAGAACGCGGCTCTTACAAATGGGGTTGAACAGGGGTACCGTTTTTATTTTGATACCATATGCATTTTGAAGTTATTTAAGGGCTGTTCAGAAGTCTCATTTTTTAGTTAAAAATTCAAAAAAAGTTATAACTTTATTTAAATTCATATTCTTTTAAGTTTGAATTCGAATTTGAACTCGAGTTTGAGACTAAAATTCGAGTTCAAGTTTCCTCTTTAACTCGAGTTCAGAAACTCGAACTTAAGTTAATGAACAATATTTTTTATATTCTTAAAAATGCTATAACTTTTTCGTTTTAATTCTGATTGAGATGATTTTTTTTTCTATGCGTTGACAACCAAAAGACGTAAAACCCCACCCATATACCCTATTAAAATTTTTCATCAGCATTGAGTTTTTATTAAAATACTATCTAAATACAAATTCAAGTTTTGACTCACTCAAACACAAACTCAAGTTACAACTTCAACTCAAGTTATAACTCAAACTCAACTCAAAATCTACACTCAAGTCACCTAACTCAAAAACGGCAAAAGAACAGCTCCTTAGTATTTTAGAACGTAAGATAATCTCTAATACAAATGTTAATTGTATATTTAGTATTAAAAAGTATAATATGATATGTTATTTTCATTTTTACTTCAATGTATAATACTATTTGAAATACTAAATCTATTTTTTTCATAATCATTAAGCTTTAAGAGTTGTATAAGTAAATTTTATTTTAAAATAATTAGAAAATGTAAAAATTGTAATGATTACATGAAAAAATAAATATTTCAACTAATAGCAATTAAATGTTAAATTTCTCATTTGCTATACTTGATAGGAACTTTGTCACAAAATATAACATATAAAAAATTTAGTACAGCAAATAACATTGCATTGGAGAAGTTTTTTGCACTCAAATACTAAATTTGTAATTAGTACATTAATTATACCATTGTATTAGAGATGCTCTAACATTTATACCATTAGATTTTGAATTTATATGGGATTCTTACTTTTTTTGGCAATGATCAATTTTGAGAAGAAAAAAAACATAAACAACCTTAAAGGAAAAAATAAAAATTAAAACATGTGAAGGATATGTTGATCTCTTTAATACTCAATCACCGAAAAAAATAGGATTTGACATCAACTTAAAATGTGAAAATAAAAATCAGTATTTCAACTCAAATGACAGAACGCCAAGATTAGCAACCAACATCTTATAAAAGGACGGTTACTTGGTTCTTAATGGAGCTGCTAATAGTTCTATCACAGAAATGGAGTTGATAATGAGTGCAAAATTTAGTAGAGTTGTACTAGTTGTCCTTTTTTAAAATTTTTTATTAGTTCTTCAATGCGAAACCCCCCAACCAAAAAAAAAAAAAAAAAAAAAATCTGAAACCATATACAACCTCACTTATTAAACTTGTCCACTTTTGTTTTTCCTAGAATAAAGTGTTACACAATATCAATATGTAAATGTAACTCTTCCTTTTTTAGAGTACTTTTGCAACATTTTTTTTATTTATAAGCTCCCTAAATAATAAATAATAAATATAAAACTTAGTTCCAGGTTTTAAAATTTGATTCCGAAAACCACTATTAACTCAATTACTCTTGTGTTGGTTCTTCTGGATTGAGGGTGGAAATTCAAACTTTAGATCTCAAATATAATATTGGAAGTAAAATGTTAAATTATTACCAGACTATGATTTCAGCTACACTCAATTAAGCTTAATTAAGCACTAATTAGATGCTATAAAACATTTATCATGTTAATGTTCCTTCCTTGGTTTTGTTTGAGATCATAAACGACCTTTCACATTTTAATGTCGTTTGAGTGGACAAGACAACCTACAGTTCAGTTTTAAAACTTTGTTGTTGTTTCTATGGCAAACGACTTGCGGTTTCTTCTGTTAAAGTTTGCAACGTTTAAGTCCGTAAACAACTTGTAGTCCATAGTAATTTCCAAGTTTTACACAGCTTTAATGGACAAAATGACATTAAAAGTTGGTGTTTAAAAGTTGCCTCTACTTTTTGTACAATGTTAATTGATGGTACAAATAATCATGAAGAGCAAAGTCTATAAAAGCCAGTAAAAAACACTCCATTTCCACTCCACGGTGTGTCTACTACGCTGATGACTTCTGTGATCATCTTGATAAACTAGCTATTTTATTGAAGACTCCTTCAAATTGTTGAGTCGAATGGTGATTTGATAAGGCTAGTACTCAAACAACGAGACACTTTATGTGCATTGAAGATGTTAAGTATATTGAAAATTAAGCTCACTTTGCAAATACAAGCTTTCAGCAACAAAAATAATTTCTTTCTTATAATAGCAAC